AGTCTTTCTGTAGGAATTTTCCCCTTGTGAACCGTTTGTCTTTCTGACTCAGTAATCCCAGATCATCAGACTGGAAGTCTTTTACTGAATGTTGCGATACGGCGCTTTCCATAGTCAAATTTCGGGCCTTTCAGGCTTTGAGCGCAATATTTAATGACAGTGCTAGTGTTTACAGTATTCTGTTAAAAATATTCCAACACTGCCATTGTGCAGCAAAAACTTCAACATAAAGAGCATCAACTTAAGCATGTGACAAACTTGTGGCATCTGCAGGCAATGGGTTCCTCTTCTCCTTTGCACATTCTAAAGGTTCCAGACTTTTCCTGTTGATTTTCAGTTCAAAAGAAGTCTCAAAAAAATGCAAATTTGAAACAAAACCTTCTCAAAACCATGGCTATCTTATACATCTTCATCTGCCTACATTGCAGGTTTTTCTTTCATCCTTGTATTCAGATTTTGAGCGTACATCAATTTCTACAGTGCTGCTCTTGCCTGGTCAAGCAGTGGAGGGGAATGAAAGAAGAAAAAAGAGGATGCATTTCTTTTTAGATACGGTATTACTCATTTCTCGGTTACATTGTATTGCTAGACTGTTTTGTCTTATTTGTTGAAGTCTGAGGTGCATGTTGGTACCAGAAAAGTTAAATTTCTTGGAGAAGTTTTTCATTGACTTAGGGCTTGCCACCATGCTTTAAAAATACAGGAAAGTATAAATCCTTGTTATATTTTCATGTTGGTGACAGCTGTCTTACAGAATAAAATATTTTAGTTAATTGAAATGCATTAACAAATGTATTGTCCAATATCTAAAAATGAAACTCATCAAAGCAATTTAAATTACATTTCTAGAAAGATAATTGATTGAAAAGTGTATACGCGACGTTCAGTTTATGACAGATTAACATAGTTTGTGACTTGAGGATAAGAGTTCTTGGTGAGGTTAGCACCGAATATTTTAGCAATGTGCATAAGGACAGATAAATTGTAAGACCAGATCTCATAAATGGAATTGTAGTTATCTGGGCTAGCAGAAGGCTTAGTAAAAGTAGAAATACAAACTAATTTCAAAAAATGTAATTGCTGCACTTAATTTCATTTTGTAGCCTGGTGATTGCTGGTTTTAAGTATCTGTAGGACTTGATCATGGTAATAGTAAAATTACTCCTTTTGCTGTTATCTGAGTTAGACTACTGTAATTTAAAAATCAGATTGCTGCTAAAACCAGAGAATGAGGCTGTTGGAGAACACAGCTACTTCAAATTCAGACTCTCATCAGGAGTGCGTGGGGCAGTACGCTGGGATGGCTTCCCACTTGATGCCTTCTTAAGGGATTGACCTAAATTTTTGCAGTGGGTAGCAGACTGGTGGCAGTGGATTTGATTGTTTAATGCTTCTGGAATTTAATTGTGTTGTTACTGGTATTCTACGGTGTCTAGAATTTTCATCATTTTTGCAGATAATTTGCTTTTGAATTACTGAAGTTACGTCGTCATCGTCGTCGTTGTTATTTAAGGCCTTGATGTTACCACCATGTGGATGATACTGTGGCCTTAGTTAGGCAAAACATACATATAAATCACCCTAAATCAGAGCCTAAATGGAGCACCTTTGGTAAATTTAGAAGTAGCTTACACCTATAGAGGGACTCATAGTAGCATGACTTGCTTAGCACTCTTCATGTACAGTCCTTCTTACAGAATGCCAAGTTCAAAATTGCAAGTAAGTGTTAACTATTGTTCCAAGAGCAGAGTAGCATATTTTCTTCCTGAGTGGGTTAGAAGCAAATTTGTCTGCTTTTAGTGTAGCTTCTGCCTTGCCAATTTTGCTTTGCATTCTTAGTCATGGCTCCTAAGCTGAATAACTTAAAACATTTTCCTTAGAAGAGTTTTAGTATGCAGAAAATTGCAATGCAATTTTAAACAGCTGAAGAGTAATCTATTTTGTTTAAAAATAGATAACTCCAAGTGTATTCACTCAGATGGCTCTCTGTGTGTGTATGCGTAAAATCTGTCATGGGAGAAAGGGAAGACTGTGTATTCCATCATGATGGTCGTCCCTTTGTGATTTGAGACTATTTCTGCTTTAGATAAAAGTTCCCAAGAGATTCCCTGCTTGGACTTCTGAAGGAGCTGGAAAAACAATTTCCGTCCAGAAGTAATAATAATAGCATGGACTTTTGGTTTTGATCATAACCTGACATTTAAAAGTCATCTGAGGAAAGATATTTCTTGATTAAAGTCAGTTTTTGCTTAATGCAGTTGTAGCTGATCTTTCCCATCTGGTATCGCGCCACTTGACGTGATATCTTTCAGTTGCCCAGTGGCCACTTTACGAGATCCCATAGGAGTTACTGACTTTCCCAAGGGACCTTTCAGTGGATGGGGTCATTCTGTTACCCTGGTGGTTATTCGGCCTTTCTCTTCCCTGGGGAAAACTTAGAAAATTGACAGTTGCACAGCAGAGAATGTGAGGTGATAATCCGATACCCAGAAAGTGTATTTGGGATTGTGGTTCCGTCAGGACTACTGCAGCTTGTGCATACCGTGTGCCTGGTTTTTCATTTATGTGCCACATCCCCACGTTTTACCTGTGGGATACAGACATCGCGTTTTATATGTGGAAGGTAGATTGTGTGACTGCATGTCCTGGGTTTTATTCCCTAAAGTGTCAGCGTTTGACATTACTCGCATAATCCTGGGTGCGGTAGTTTTGCTTCCTGCTTCTGCTGCGCTGTCATTCTAAGGAGTCACCCTTAGGCGAGACGGGCAGACATCTCCTTACGTGGGTCTGGGCGAGGTACTGCTTCATGCCACTGTTATTATTTCAGTTTTAGCGTGTAATACGCCTGAAGAGAGATGTAGGTATTTGTGTTTTGGCTTTTTGTGTGTTTTGTGGACTGCTAAGATATGATCTTTGTTGCTAAGAAGCTGGATTTTATCCCAAATCCTGTGAATTTCACACAAGATCAGATTCTCACAGCATTTATTGAAGGCACAGAATAACCGCTTCCTGCGTGCAGAGCTCACCAACGCAGTCTCTCCCAGGTAGGAGGAAGCTTTTAGGCAACAGAAACTTAAACACTTTGAGATTTCCTTGAGACACCTCTGGTTTCTGTACAACATAAAATACCTCCCACTAGCTGGGGGTAAATGCATTGATTATGGCAGCTACGCAGGAACTCCCAAACAAGTCATGGGTGCATTTTACAGCGGCTTGAAAATTGGAACTCTTCTCTAGTGCCTCTGATCTATTTTCTCTTGTGATTCCCAAAGGCCTCAGTATGGGCGGATGAAGATAAAACACAACTCGGTGTTTAGCTATGCTATACTTGGGATCTCTTCTGAACGAGGAACTCGGCTCTTGAGTTCACCAGGTACAAGCTAATCCTAAATTTCTAGTATTGGCAACCTGGAGCTAAAGAGATGGCTAGATTCTCTGAGACCTATGGTACCAGACAAATGAAGGCACGTAATGAATATCAAAGACATGGGTTATTGAGAAGGAAAGCCTGAAAAACGTGTTTTATTTTGTCGTCAGAGGAGCATAAATCCACAGGGAGTAAAGCTGAAAAAAGACCCCTGTTCTGCTAGGCGAGTGTCCTTAGGTCAGGCCACGTTTTCATGCTGTAACTACTGTGCACTTTGTTGCCCCTTATGTGTCTTTGTTCCCAGGATAGATTGTGGTCTTTATCCCCGTGGTAAATACAGTACTAGATACTTTGTAGAAATTAAAACTGGCAAATTCCATGTGTTTTATGTCATTTGGCATTCTGCACAAACCCCCTTCAGTTTGTCATAAATTCCTAAACCAGAGCAAGGTCACATCTGGTAGCAATTTCAGTCTGCCAGATGAGGCGTAATCCTGTAAAACCTAACTCATTTTCTCCAGTGCCTTTCAAAGACGAGCTCTCCTGCTCCTTTTCCATAAGACATACCGCTTGCCCTGTGAGCTCTGTAGAATGATTTAGGCTGACAGTCTTTTCACGCTTCATAAACTGCAATTTTTGGAACGCAGGTTTGTATCCAGTACATAAGGCAGTACAAGCAAGTAACAGTGTTGAAGTCTTCACGGTAACAGGCTGCATCTAGATTCTTTCTTTTGCAACAGCATGTCCCTGCAGGACGCAGTAATTGTGTTCTTTCTCAGTATTTCAGTCCATATGGATCTCCTCGTACTCCGAGTAACCTGTCGTCGCGCATACTGCATAACTTCGAAAGGATCCATACATAGCTACTATTCTGCTTTTCTTTTACGTGTTTTTAAAATAGTTACAGCAAAAGTTAGGAGTCTTAGGTAATTCAGGATATACACACTGAAGACTGTAAATTATTAGATGTACTAACAAAGTAATGGAACGATGATCAATCTTTGCACACTGTAGTAAGTGAAAATAGCTCTGATTCCCAGTAATGTGGAAGTTTAATAGTAGGCAGTAGTTGTATATGTTTTGTCATTCTCCATTGTCCCATTAGCTCTTGGTAATAGCGGTTATTTTGGTATCCCACTGCCTTTATTACTTTATGCTTTCAGAGCACTGCATGGAACTTGGTGATCCACTTTCTCAAAAGGAGTAGCAAAACGGAGTGTACTAGTAAGGGGTTTTTTTGGTGAAACTGTGATGTATTATAATGTGTGTTATTAAATCAAATTGGCAGAACTCAGTTAAAAGATATTCTTTCAAGGCTTCCTGCGTCTTGCACAAGGACTTCTAAGGCCTGTTTGTACAGGTGCATGATACTGTTTTGTTCTCTGAGGTGACCTAATTTAAGTAGCTCTTGATGTCACATGAATGATACTAAAAAACCCCAAACCATCAAAACTTAAAAAGCACGTCAGAATTTTAAACAATTAGTATCCTTACTCTTAACTATTAAAAATGCAAGCTAAAAGTGGCAGCATATTAAAATCCACTGCAACTGGAAAGCACTACCTAGAAACCACCTTGTCTACTCTGATTTTTGTGACCTAATTTATACCCTTTTGAACCTGTTTATTCACAGGGCAAATACCCTGATGTTGTGACCCTTCCGGAAGGACTGCTGGGAGATTATCTAATTCTAAGGAACCCCAAACTTTCTGGGTAAGCCAATAAATACATTTCTCGATTTATGCAGGTAAAGGATTGTGAAATGCAGATTGACAATCTATACGTAATCGGTCTGCTTGAACATTAAGTCACTCTTTGCTTCAGAACGCCTCTAAACACAGAGATTGTGCGTTACGTTTTAGGGCTATAACCACACATTGAAAACACGAGGTGAAAAACCAAAAAAAACCCAAAATACATGTACAGACCGCCTGCATGTGGCCCTGTGAGGTAAGTCAAGCAACCGTGTTGCTACTGTGGATACCCACTCTTTTAAAAAGCTAGGTGGAAAAAAATGAAGGGCTCCAGCAGGCTTTTAATTTGCATTTTAAGAAAAAAAAAAAAAATCTATTACTATCTCTGTTTTGGAAGCTCATGCTACAATGAAGAGGCTAAATTCAAAGTGTAGAAACGTGGGATGCATCCTCCCTCAGAGGCATCAGAAAACATGTCACGTTCGACTAGATTTGTTCCATCTTGGTTTTCTTTCTGCATTACATGACCGGAGCAATGGGCAGAACAGATGCCGAGGCCAACACCCCTCTTACTGTGACAGGGTGGGCCACGGGCAACTGTCCGCTATGAGATAAGGCAGTTATTTTCCACCCCTGGGCCTGAACGAAGGCGCGTACCCCTTCTCGCAGGTGAAGGCCCGTGTGGCAGCCTGTCAGTTACAGCTCATACTTTCTTCTGTGGCAGGAGGTGCAACAATCACAATTCACTGAAGCAAAGCACAGTTCTTTGGTCTTCCTTCCATTAAAGAACGGAAAGGAAATTGCGGTTACCATGTTACTGACAGCAACGGTAGCCATGTATTTCCATTGTTTTAGAAGGAAATGGGTTAGATGGAGGGGATCCTTTTGCTGCCATTTGTCATTATTCCTCTACCACACGTGCTGGAGTTGTTCGGGATCCCTGCTAGACACGTGCTGGCAGGTTTGGGTTTTTAAATGGAGTAAAGAAAATCCTTGAAGTTGCCTGTAAGACAATGTAATTATCACTGTCAGGAATTCTGTAAGGGCCAAGAAAAGCAACTACTTTGTGAAGGGATCAGACCAGTCCCTTCTCCTATTACATCTTTGCTATAACGTGAATTAATTTATATAGAAACAACTGGAAATAAAGCATCGCTCCCTCCATCATATTTGTTTGTGGAACTAGCAAATAAACCATAATAGATAGTGCTGTGTCGGCACCGCAGCGCCAAATCGGCCACTTAAAACTAAATGCTTTAATTCTGGGTTGCTGAAATGAATTGTTGTTAGACCATCGCAGTTAGAAAATAAGCTGCTTTATTTTACAGCTTCCCTTCATGTTGGCAAGTTCCATTACACATTTCCTCTCACCCACAATCATGAAATACAAGAATTAAAGAATCATTTCAGTGGGTTGGTAGAAAATACACTTGCATATTAACTTGTTTGCAAAATCCCAGAACAAGCTGTGCACAAATTCTCAAAGGATTTGTAACAATGAAGTGGCAAAAGGCTGGCAAATCCTATTTAAAGGAAACTTTTACAGTCGTCGTTCTACCGACACTGAGAAAGGGAGCTTCCTCCTCGCAATGACTTGTTATTGTGCCTATCAGCTTTGGATTAGGAAAGCCTTACTTTCAATAAGGAATACTCCTGAAAGCAGGGAAAAGTGCAGTAAAGCAGATGGGATGTTATAAAGCAGCAAAACTACTAGGAATATTGTTCTAGAGTAATCTCTGTGTGCTTGACAAGAAAAACTCTCCCCCTGCAGAAGCCAACTGCCTAATTGTCCACTTAGTGTGGTGTGGTCATCCTTGTCCCGCTGCGAAAGCTAGGAATAGTAATTAGCCTTGCAAAAAACACCAGGAAGACTCTTGAAGGAGTAACGATGGTTGAGATTTTTTTTTTTTCTTTAAATTAAAAGCAAACAAATGCAGGAGTCTAGGCCTTGCATATATTTATCCCTATGCGTTATTCTAAAAAAGGCCATGAACGGTATCGGGGTGGACCTTATTCCAAACGCAGAACGTCGCTATTTATGCAAACACTTCTTCTGAAACAATTTTCCTCTGTTTTCATGCTGTATCTAAGCACAATACCTGACCACAGGGCACAGATACTGTGTAAGGGGCGGGGGTGGAAGCGTGCGCTCTCATTTTCTTTTGTATCTTACTTTTTACCACTGTTTCACAGAAACTTACCGTTCGTGAGAGACAAAGACAAGAACCAGGGGGAAAAAATCTTGAGGTTCAAAACTTGAATGCACCTGGGAATGAAATGCTAACCTTTGCTTGGCAGTAGATTACCAGTTTTCCTTGGTTCAAAACAGAAGTACTTCTAATTCTCAAATACAGAGATGGGCAAATTACATGACCTGAGGTGAATTTTGTTTAAGAGCATACTGAGTGTGACCCTCCTGAATGCTGTTCTTACTGCTTTGAAAAAACCTTACAGACAGTTGCCTAGTTAACACTTCACTAACTTTTCTGTGCACACGATACAGGTTGGAATTAATGATCGTTTGGAAGATACATCTAGATGAAGAAGGGAGAACTACACCTGTTCTGGACCTTCTGACTAAAGTACCGGAGCAAGGTAATGTCCTTCACTTCGAGACCATTTCTGAGCTTTCAGGCAGAACACCTGTCCCCTTTTTTGGCCAACAGCTCTTTAGATAAAATGGAAATCCATCTTGCAGAGCCCAACCAGGCAAACGAACCCCAATTTAGCAAGCGGCTAAGCTTCACCTCCTGTATCATTTAAAAGGGCTTACAAAACAAATGGGTCTTTCTCTTCTGGACAGCAGGTAACCCGTGTTATCCAAAACCGCAATTGCTGACAGCTACTTTCAGTAATAGCGCAGCGGTCTGAAAAGAATAATGTTGTTACCTTTTTCTTGCAGTCTTGGAGCAGAAGATGGCAACTATTGAAAATGCACCTGCCTCCTTCCGAAGCATGCTGCTTCTGTTTGGGATTGAGACCGCTATCGAGAATCTGATCAAAGTGGTTGGCTTGGAAAAATGAACACCATCACTACTTACAACAGGCAGCAATTTCAAAAGTAGTTTTAATTAAGGTATTGTGTTACACAGTCTATAATTTTATTGAATATAAACATTAAGTTATCTTCCATTTAGAAACCATACTCATAAAACATGCTATCTGTACAATTATGGCACGTTATATATAAATTGTCATGACATGAAAATAAATACAGCCATTTAAATACAAAAATGCCAAATAAAATAGTTACATGTACAGAGTGATTTCATTATAAATTTATCTTTCTGAATCTTTAATGTACCAGAGTGGTTTATCTTCTTAACATTTTCTAGATACCTGGAAAGTGTTAAAAGATCATGCACTGTCAAAATCAAGTCCATAAAAATCCATTTCATTTCACAGCTCTGTAAAAGTACAGTGATTTTAAAATGATAAGAGAACAGTGAGAGACTCCTAGAACAAAGAGTTAAATAGCTTTCTCATTAAATTAGGGTGGAAGTAGACAATTTGAAGATTTCAAAGACATATTATGCTTAAAAAAAAAAGGGGGGGGGTAACTGTATGAAGTAACTTTTCTCCCTAATGTAAATGTTGAGTAGAGACAGCGTTCTTCTACAACTGAAGAAGAAAGGACCATTACACTTCCGTAAAGAGAGATGGAGGAGTTAACTACTGCTCACCGCAGCACTTCGTTTTGATTTCCTACTTCTAGGGGGAAATTGGAGTAGGGTAACACATTACGAAAGCATCACGTTTCATACATTCATCCCTGAAGAAACAAAACAGGTTAGACAGATGTCTTGTAATCTTCCTTCGCTTCCATCAGATAGACCATTAGCTCGGTTGTGAACTCTCGGCATTTTTCAAGAGAGCTCCTGCCCTGCACTAGCTGTCACAACCAAACCCATGCAACTGCAAGCCACGTCCTCCTTAGGCAGGGAGCAACAGTTGTTCCTGGAATCAAGGGGCCAGAAATATGAACTGTGGACTCTCAAGTAATACTGAGAGACTTCAAGTCCACAGCTGCTATAAACCCTGCAAGCAGTACAACTGCCTGCTCCGTTTATAAATTATGACAAAGTATTTTATAGCAATGGTGAAACAGATAGAGAAATCAAGAACTAAAGCAACGGTATGTTTATAATACCGTAATTTTAACAATCCACTATGTGATCGCTGAAATAGTCTCCTGCTGTTCTGGCAGGTCAGGAAAAACTGACAGACCGGCTTGGTTTCTGTCAGAATCTACAGGTGAGCAATGCCAGAGATTTTTTGTTTCTGTTTTCAATGAACAGCAACTCTGTAATAAAATACCTTGTTAGATATAAGGCAGACTAATTTCAAGTTTGGAGTCCAGTAGACAGGCAAAATTCTTTGCTACTTTATCCACTGACACGTTACTGGTCTAGCTGGTTTTGTGTAACCTTTAGTTTATTTCATCCTTAGCTCCTTCTTGCATGAAAATGGAACTGTTTGATCACATATGCTTCTCTGCATATGAAGTGTGTGTAAAATTACAGCAAAAGAACCTGAAACCTTTCCAGCTGTGGATAGTCCTTCCTTCCTCCTCCTGTCTAACAGTTGGAGGATATCTGGATTTAGAAATAGATCTCTCTCCCCCCAGGTTTTCTTTGGAAAGAAAGGGTTATTACCACTGTCAACTACCAGCTTATTGCACTGTTGTAGTATTACATTTCAGCGAGAGCAGCCCACGCCCCTGTCCCAGAAAGGCACGCTGTCGCCTGGAAGTGGAATACAAGAGATTGCGAACGTGGGTCACTGCCCCTGGCAAAGCTCCATTGCTGTGTGAGTGGTGTTACTCTGTATTTCGTATTTCTTCCTTGAGTTATGCCAATATAGACAGGGTTTTCTGGTTTTGCTTTTTGAATTTCAGGTAAAATGGAACAATTCAAGCATTACCTTGAGATCCCAATATATTTTTTTAAATGTTAACCTACACTATTTTGAAAAACATTACCAGTAAGCACACGCTGTATCCAGGTAACAGCAGTTCACTGTAGCTTGAATAGCATCTCTCTGCACGTTGCAGGGTGTGTAATCCCCAAGTGTATGGGAAAAGCGTCTGTAGATTTTATCATTCTACCCTCAGTTGTGAATACATCCTCAGTCTCCAGCTCAGCATCTTCCTCGAGGATGGCTTTTACTGCACCATCTCACAAGATTCCAGCTGCACGTGTCAACGTTTACAAAGTAAAGCCATCATTAAATTGCTGAAGTAGTGATACGAGCTTAGCTCCAGTACTCATCATGAGCAAGTGACCCCCCGCAGCTTCAGAAAATTGGATACTGTCACCTTTTTTCTGTGTCACTTAAAAAGAACGAGCCTGAAAGCAGCTGGTCGTGCTATGCAGTATGTGGGATATCACAGTGGAATAATGCCAACGTTTGACACGATCTGAAAGACCTGAAGTAATCTGTAAAACTCAGACCATATTATTCTTATAGCTCAATTTAAATTAGGTAAGAGCGAGCTGTGGTTTCACCTTCAATAGCAGCATATAATGTATAGAACAAGTTAAGCCCAGCTATCACATAAAATTCAAGGATGCTTACCTTTAACCCTTTTCACTTAGTTTCAGAAGCTTTAGGTAGATACAAGGTGAGCACAAAACTTCTGGAGGCAGTCTGGTGCTCTTAATGTCATGCATTAGTACTTAAAAGTGTTCCGCAGTGACACGGTAGTTCCACGGATCAGTAACACTTGAGTAGCCACTTCAGTTGGATTTTTCAGTGGATGTAATGCTAAAGTTCTGTATTAGGTTTTGTCAGAGCATTCCCTCTTCCCAGTAGGTATGAGTGAGACTCAAAGCACAAGCTCCAAGGCAATTCTCTTGTTAGTAATTAGGCTTTCTATGTTAGTGCAATACTTCAGGAAACCTTTACTTCTGTGCTCTTTCAATTCTAAGGAAGTAGACTTTTAGTATTAATTTGCTCTGTCCTCTAGTTCCAAGGTATGGCACGTTATCTGTTCTGTCATATTAAATACATTCATTAAGGTTATATAGCAAATGCATGGTTTAGTGCTATTCCATGTCTTTGAAAAGGCATACCAATTAGAAATCATTTCTGAAAGCAAAACATTCACAGCTGAAAAATGCACTGAACACAATAGAGAAAAAATCACCATAATTGTATTCCATTAATCTTTCACTTTCTAATGTGTTCGAATAAAAATAACCTTAAGGAAACGGTTACACTGTATGGAGAACTAATGTGCAGTCTTCATTCTCCTTGAAGAGACTGGACATAACTGGGTCATCTTTGGCCTGTACATTCTTCAAATAATAGTTTACTATTTTGCCATCAAGTTTGTACTGATGAGGAATGCTTTCATACGGTTTTAGATCGAGGTCCAGGACAGAAACAGAAAAGGTGAATCTGGATTTGGACGTTAGTACCACAGGTCTTTGCTCAGAGCTGGAAAACAAAAGCCGTATCGCATATCTGAGTTGCTGAAGCTAACATTTTTCATTTGTGTATCCCGAGTCCCCTTGCAAAAGTGGCTCTAATGTATATCTCAGAACTTTTACAAGAGCCTAAGAAAATGAACTTCCGCTAATGTAGCATTTAGGAAAGCACAGCTCCAGCTTAACTAGTCTTAAAGTGAACTTGCCGGCGCCTCTCCCAGTCATTTTCCTTTCAGCTTCCACACAACTTAAGTCAAAACATTACTCTCCATTACTGTGTCTTTGTATTTAGTAAGTCTCATCTGTTTCTAGGTGCCGTGCGTGCAAAGCAATAGCCTTATTAACTAGCAGAAGCAGAAAGAATCACTGCAACTCCTACTTAGGTTCAAGGCAATACAGATTTAGGATCAGAACCAGTGTCCAAGCATACGGAAGGATGGAGGACGACTTATTATTAAAAGTCAACCACTGCACAAGTCATCTCCCTTGTGAACATTTCATTCAAGAACCGCAGGACAAACGCAGAAAACAATATGCTCTAAAAATAACAAGGCTTTGCTAAAGCAAACTCCCCCACGTAAGAGCAGGCTATATAATATTGTGGCAAAACCTCCTGCCTTACAGTGGAAGATGTCACCTCTTGATTATTGCCTTGGTTTTGCTGATGTGCTTAATAAAGACTTCTGGTTTCTAATTAGGCAGTTAAAGGCAACTCATCTTGAAAAACCTCTCATACGAGGACAAGGCAGAAAAATTGTACCTAGTTAAAACCATGTCTATCTACTATGAACAGTCAATTCAAATTTCAAGAAGGGAGTAAGTATAAAACCTTAACCCTTTTTATCAACCTAAAACTCTTCAGAAACAGACCTCTGTCCTAAATGTCTTAAATCAGAACTCTACCTTACTAATATGCTCACAGCCAAGTGTTTGGACACCCCCCAGAAAAAAACCCCAACTTTTTTAAAGTTTCTTGAATTGACTGAACTGTGCAAACACATCTTCAATTCCTAAACGAGTAGGAGTCATTCCAGAGCAGGTGTCTCTTACCATTCATCTTGCAGGCAGGGTGAAAGGGCAATCATGATGGAGCAGTCTTTAGCAGTCATTGCTATTCTGTACTGCTGCACCTGTACAACAGAACAGTAACATGAATTTTCTATTATATTTGTATTTGCCTTCATAAAGCATACTGTTCTTTATAAAAGGCATTAGTACACTCAGTGTATTACTACGTTGGTATTTTAAGAGCTGGAAATTATCTCTGTAACAGACTGTTAGCAGGAGCAAGTGGCTTTACAGCATCCTGTATAAGGATCATGTTTATTTCCTACAGCTGCTTTTCTTGAAAGCCAAAGCAGCACCAGCTCATGCAAATGCTTCCTCAGTCTAGAAAGGAAATAACCAGCTTTATTTTTCTCTCCAGAACCGGTGCTGAGCATGTTTGTTTTTAACTGCTTCTGCAGTTAAAAGATACACCTCTATCAAGATACACCCTGGCACAATTAAGAACTTTAACCGTACAGACATATGACAAGCCAGCAGTGATGCTAACACACCAGCCATCTGTTTCCTGTTAGACAGGTGTTTATTAAAATTGACAGACTAAATAAGCTTCAGCAACATGCACAGGAAAAGTACCTTTGTTAACGCAAACGCTACCGTCCCGTCATCTTCAGTTGAAAGATCTAGCAGCTTCTCATAAAATGCTTCATTGTAAGGTCCATCTATCTGTAACGTACTTCTAAATAAATTTTAAAAGAAGATTCACAGACAGCCAAGATGAGTTACCGATTTTCAGTGAGATCTTTCTTCAGCAGCCCAGATACTCAGAAAAACACAGTAACACCAATAAACATGGCGACAGGTTAATACTCGGAGGCCTGACACCAATGACCAGTCCCTATTATTCTCATATCACTTGAGATATGCTGTTTGGGGGTTGGGGGGGGGGTTGGGCTTTGTTTTTTGGTTTTGTTGTTAAGATGAATCATTCTTAATCTACTGCCAACCTGCGTATCACTACACAAACAGTGTTTACTGCAAAAATGGGTAAGGTTCAAAATTTCTAACAGTTTGCAGGCGCTCCCAGAAGACTTGCTGAAAACATTGGGGGTATACACTTAACCTGACAAGGCCCTGCTCTGCCCGCAGCTTCATAACGTGTGCTAACAAGGGGATGGTTTATTTGGCCCCCTTCCTTCCCACGTTAAATACCTGAACTCCTGCTGACAAGCTGAACCCACAAAAGCGGGGTTTGCAGCACACAAACACCACGCAGATGAAAGAATACATTTTCAAACTATTTGTTTAATGTATATTTATTTTATACAAGCCAGCCACACGGCAAGTGATTTCAGCCGAACTTAAGGCCAACCCATTGCCTGTAAGATAACCCTTCAACGGGAGTCCGAGGGAGCTGAAGGAGCACAAGCAGCAACGCCTTGCAAGTGAAGCCAGAGTGCCCTCGTGTGAGCGACGGCAGGATTACAGGCAAATTACAGCCCGAGGATGCAAGAGGCATCCAAGTCAAGGCTTTTTTATAGCGATTATTATTACAACTAATAAGCTTTCTTTGAGAACAAACGCAGCAGCTTGCAATGCCCAGTATTTCATCACCAGGCAAGAGATACCATAAGATAAAGGATCTCGTGCCTCAAGTATGACTTGATCACTTGTGATGTGGGTTACGATCTGGCATTTGGAGCTACTCATCACGCAACAAGGGCAAGCTCACAACAGCAGATACTGGGCCATTACCCACTCACACCTTCTGTAAGATCTTGCAGGCACAGGCTGGATTGCTGCTGAATACCAAATTCGGGGTTTTATAGGGCAGGTTGTTAGGGAGGCCAATATAGACTGGAGAATGACTGCAAAAATGTCATTATTACTGCAGACATAGTCCTAGCTCTGCAGGTACTGAAGGCAGGAGAAACCAACCATCCATTTTACTGTATCTTTCCTCAAGTATACAGCCTTCACTACTGAGGAACAGTGCATTTTCTCTCTTACCCTGTTGTGAACTTCCCATACTCGTTACTTGAAAATTCAGGTCAGTGACTGACGTAAAAACTTTTAACAATAAACCTCACCTTTTATGTTATCTGGCATTTCAAGTTAGAGATTCAGAATATGCAATACCATGAAGGAAGGTTGTATACAACATCATAATAAGAAAGACTAAATTGGTTGTGTCTGCATAGAGCCACTCTTGTCTGCGTACCTACTTCACCAGAACTGACAAGAAAAGCCATCAAAAGCCTTACCTCTCTTCGGGAAATTCCTCTAAGTACTGTTCAACTCTACTGTACAAAGGATAGAGTCCTTCAATATCCAGCATGTCAAGCATCTGAGCCTGAAGGGTTTTATAAAGGAGACAACCCCTCGGTAAGCCAGAGCTTTCCAATTTATGTTTACCTAGAAGAAAATGTATTTTCAAATCAGGCAGACATGAGCATCGTCTTTGTTTCATTTTGCCATTACATGTGCTCGTTCACAGAGGAAATCCAAATACTCTTCAGACTAATCACAGGGGAGAACCCAAAACACTTCACTTTCCAAACACTAATGTGCCAGGTGCATGTACTTACCTGCACATTTACACAGCACATATTTGACTGCAGAATAGAATATCTGGTATAGAACTCTACAGTAAATTACTCAAAAAACCCAAACCCCAAACCACACGCTTCCACTGCAATCTACTTGTTTGAGTCTACAAGAGACATTTCACACATGAAAAACCACAAATTCACTTTCAACAGTATGAACCGTTGGCAGAAAGTAATTCAGCATTTCAGGTATCAGGTCTTTTTAATATAGTATAAACAGATTTGTATTTGCTATTATTTCTGCGAGATAGCTCTTTCTAGCTCTTTCTCCACACAATACCACAAAACCAACCAGCAATGAAAAAAATCTTCCTCAAAAGCAGAGTAAGAAACATGCTGTTTGTATAATTAGGATAACTAGCAGCATCTTGAATAATTAGAGCTTTATAAAACTTACACACTGAGGAATTAACACGATTTACAGTTTTCCAACTCTGACTTCCCATTTCTTTTCCCTCCAGTACTCATACCTTTCTCTTTACCAGGAGCGGAGCAGTAGAAGAAAACAAAATGAGCTACACCCTAGCTGGTGAGGGCTGACAGGAGGAGCAGGGAAAGGCAAGAAATAGGTGTCATGTAAGAGACCAACCAAAGCAGCCAGAGCTCATCACATACAACACTGAAAATTCCCCACCCATTTGAAATAGCTATGATGGTTATCAGCTCAAACTGGTATTTTCTTCTGTTTTTCCCTCTATCACCTTCTGAATTTATTTTTATCCCTGTCACTAGGTACAGTGCTAGAAGCGCTCACCGCAAGGTCACATTTAAAACAATTGTCTAGCTGGTTATGCAACTCAGAACTTGTTTTTAAAATGTCACTAAAACTCCACTGTTTCCGTTCTCACATCGGTATTAAACAGCAATTGAGAGGCAAAGATCTGAATCGTTAGGTGATAACAGTTAGTTATTGACAGTGCTCAAGAAATTATTTCTTACCATTTCTTACTAGTTCCTTATTAAAAGCACTTGCTTCACAGTAGCTTCTTCCTTGTGAAACAGGAACTGTCTTCATATCACCTGCCCTGCAGGCATCAGTACTACTTAGTAGCGTCATAGTTATAACGTGGATTAGTTCTTTAACAATTGTCCTTGTGCAGTGTGGTCCACTGACCAACCCATTGGAAGGAAAAAAGAAAGGTTTTAAGTGACGAGCAAGTTCGTTCCAGTCAGAGACACAGTCCTGGTCTTCTTTACAGCCATAAATTAGCTCCCCATTCTGCAAAGGAGAAAAAAAGATTCAGGCACGTCATGAAATCCAGTTATTCGTACTTGGCTAGTTAATCAAAGCATCAGATTTAAAGACACACAGCACAGAAAAGAGTATTCGTAGAACAGTCTGCATACAAATACACACATCCCCAATCTCTTACAAATTTGCCCTCAAGTTTAATCAGATACCACAGGTGACCACCTTTGAGTTAGGACCAAAAAACCCATTTAAGTCAAGTGCTGCTTTCCCAACTTACTCAACTGTAAGTAATCAGAATAATAAAAGCGAACTGATACTTAGCACATTTTCCTATCGCTTCTTTCTGAATAATGCCAACAGTGAAAAAGCACCATGTGAAACAACCTTCTTTTAAAAGCCAAACTGGAAAACGGAAGGCTATAAAAAGGGACAGAAAAGCTGTGACAGTTACCTGTACTAATAGAAAAAACAGGACAGCTCATACAAGTTTAAGTAATTCAAATAGTTGCTTTAATACTGGAAGTAAGTCGTAAAGAATATTATTTCCTAGACTTAATCTGAAAATCTGCATAAGCCATCAGTTACTGCTTTTTATTTTTCCTACATTACTTCCATAGAGAAGGTAACTTTTCACCTCCTCAGTGAGGCATGCTGCGCATTTGGCTTGCATGAGCGCCGTAACAGTAATTTCTAAAAATACTTGCAGCAACATGCAAAGTTCTCCATCTTCTTCCTCCTGAAGAAGCACGTAACATTTTAAAACTTCGGTCATCTTTAAAAGCCCTCTTCTATTAGTTGGTCCTTGGTGATTCTTTCAAAGTACTTCTGGGGAATTATTACTTACCTGCCCTAACTTGAAATCTAACTAAGAATTTTCCTGTTTTCTTCTTTTGGTGGGGTCCAATAGCGATGGTGCTGATTAGGTGGGTTTCAAGTAGGATCTTGACTGTTCAGATGCTGAAGTCAAATTGTTTAAAAGCCAAGGCAAAAAAAGGAAGCGGACAGATTTGATTGTTTACCTTAAATATTTTCAAGTTGTTCTGTGCCTCCTGTAATAAGCTCTTCAAAGCAAAGTGCATTCTCTGTTTATTTCTAGGGGAAAAGAAAAAAAAAATAAATCCAAGAATGTTTTATCACAGCCTTTAGATGTTTACACCCACGCCTGGAGGACTCTATGGAATCAGAATTGGGCACCTGAAGTGAACACACCCATTAAGCCTGTTACTCATGCTGAAGTCACCGCAAAGACAAAGTGACTGTTCGCAATTAGAACTTCAAATCTGAGTAAAGTAAACAGCTCTTAGGTTTAATGTTATGTAGCAAAGAGGCACTGGTACATTAATAAGCAATTATTCCCGAAATAGGTGTAAAAAGGTACATAGCACCAGAAATATCCATTGTAAAAGTCAGACAAGCAGGCATTGATCATCCTTAACACTACAGTGAAAGTCAAAGTAATCTAAGAAGGAAATCTGTAACACAGATTTTTTGGCACAAACACAGAATAAGTCACACACTTCCTTACCCTGAGAAGAGATCCAATGGGCAGTATTTACTGGGTCGCTTCCATTTTCCATTCGCTACCTGTTGAAAAGCCACACCGCTGCTGTTAATGGCTTTCTGGAATAAGTGCTCTCAGTTATTGCAATAGTCAGGTGTGTGGCACTAACGTCCTGTCTTCAGAAGTCCTATGACATTTAAAACCCTTTGAACATACAAGTCATGACTACTAGCGGTCTTTCTCGCCATATTTAGCTCAAGTCACTCAAATTGCATTCACAAATGGAAAGCATGGAGAAAGGTCACGTTAAATTACAGTAAGGCACAGTTAGACGATCTCAGACACATCGTGGACATTAGTCAAATGAATTCCGTGTGTGTTACATGCTGTTATAAGTTACGGAATGCCGCCATGCATTCGGTGAGCTGTACTTGAAAGGAAATTTGACGTTGGAGTTAACCCAATCAACAGCGTTAATAGGTCCTCAAAGACTAATCTTGTATTTGTTTGCTTCCAGCTTCCCACAGAACTTGTTCCATCTCTCACTAAACAGATTCACACCCAGCAACTCAGATGTGTATCCACCTACCATCTTTAGTCATATCAGAGATTTAAGCAACAACATGCGAGTTTCAACAGGAAAGCAAGACTGGAAGAGCAAATAAAGCACAGTACAGTCGAAGGAAAGCAGAATGACTGAAAAAAAAAGTAGTTACCTTTAGGTGCTGATGCATACAGTAACGACACACCTTGTGCTTTATCTCCTGTGAAACATGGCTGGAAAAAGGAATGAAGCCACACTTCGGCTAAAACAAACAAACAAAAAAAGATTATAAATAGAAATTTATTTCTTTATATAAATTAAGGGCACACAATATGCAAATCTTTCCAGTTAAAGGAAACTAAAAAATCCAAACAACCAACCCAGTCAACATCCAACACTTAAAAGCTTAATATATGTCACTGTATATTACTCCCAATTATTTGAGTCCTCGCTTAAGAAATAAGGACACACAAAACTCCCGCGGCCTACAAAAAAGCCTAGTAATATCTGAGAATTTCCCAAGTTTCGAAAAATCAGGAATTGGAAGAGTGAGGGGGACATTTCACCCTATGGGTCACAGTGAAAGCGGTGAGCTCTGCCTTCTCCCACTGCTGCATTCCTTGGAAACGGCTCTGGTCAGCACGTACTTAAAAAATGCAAACAAAACCCCCCGAAGGATCTTCTCCTATTCAATACCTTAATCTCTATGCAGAGGATTGGCCGGTGCTCCACAAAACGATAGGTCTGCAGCCTGGTAAGATTAGGAAGGCACACTGCATAACCACTAAGAGTGTCCATATCTTTATCACAGCGAGACTCTGGGGAAAACAGGAAAAAAACCCAACACAGACAAGAAAATGAGATGCGTGGATGTTTATTTTACTCTGCACTTATCTTGTTCACCAGGTGGGGGGGTGGGAACAAACTCAGAAAGAGAGGACACAGTTTAGCAGGCTTTAGCCAATCATGCACTTGCACAAATTCGCCCTCCCCATTATCACACCACCCGTTTTCAGTTTCCTCAAAACTGTCATAGGCATATAGAGCGTCTCAAGAGCTGCTTTTAATGGCTGGTTTCCAGCTCATCCCAAGAAAGGTACCAGTGAGAGGCCTGAAACAGCAAAGGAGTGCATTCAATTGGCCAACAACAGGTAAAGAGACTACTGTATTCAAAGACGTCATCTCACGTTTGCTTACTGAAAATGCACGACTACCATCCCTCCGTCTAGTCAAGAGGAATCTGTGAAAACTGGCAGGAATATCATAAACTGTTCAGAAGAAAGTGTAAATCTAAACAGAACCTGCAAGTGGCTTCGCTGAACTCCTTAGTCTGTACGTAGTGTTTTTTCAAGGTTTAAAACATTTGCCCAAGGTTTGAGATCATGATGCGCTGTATTAAAAAACAAAACTGGTAAGAAGCAATCAGCTGAAGAATGATTTCTCAATGAGAGCTAGTCTCTTCCTAGCCATTCCAGTGTTCGCATCAAAATAACAAACAGGTGAAAAGGCACATGTAAGGACCAAAAGCTAGCTTCCCCCTCCTCACAAGCTCACAACTTAGAACAACAATTTCCTCTGCTACGACCATGCTTTTAAAAATAGCATTTCTTAATATAGTCCAGATTAACAATCCTGAGAAGAAGCAAAGTAGCACAATGGTTTCAGACTAAGATTAAGAGGCTTTATGTAGATAAAGCCTTTAAATAATCTCCCTCCACACGCATCCTTTGGGACAGAGAAAGCTCTGCGAGATTTTGATTCAAATTTAACAAGAACATACACGCCTACGTTTTCAGATATCTGTGTTACTAGAGAGACATACGGAATACATGTGTTCAGTTGTAGCTTCCACTGCTAAGAAAAACGTCCATTCTGAAAAATATATTGCAATAGGAAAAAAAAATCACCTCGGAAACGGAAGCCTCATTAGGCATCAGCCTACAATTACATGCGGTACTGCACTAGGATGAGCAAGAAGAAACCTTCTTTCTCCAACAAAATGCTGACATTTGTTTTCTTTTTCTAAACTTAAGCAAAAGCACATCCATGTTCAGCTGAAAGCCACTTGCCAAATCAGGTACACCCAGAAATCTGAATATTAGAGAAGTTCCTTCTTAAGGTAGACAGGCTTATTGTGAAAGGTAGTAGTAAAGGAAATTCTTTCCTCGAGTTTTAAAAAAAATTCCTGTTAAAAATGAACGACAAGATTTGCTGTGGTAAAGCAAGAAATACCACTTGGACAGCTCCTCACAACCACATTTCTTCCTCTAAAGAAATCCTCGTGAGCTGCGGACACACAAAATTTAACTTTAAGAAATAAAACTAAATTCTATCATTCACTTCTACCAGAGTATCATCAATTTTGTAACTTTTATTAGACACTATTTACTTTCCTTGCTAGTTCCACAGTGCCAGAAACCGTTTCTGAAAAAGGTGAGGACAAGTCAGCAATAGAGAGTGTCCTGTGCTCACTATATGCAAACTAACTCAATTTTTTCGTGGACGAAAGGCATCAAAGTACTGGCTACAGTTACCAAGAATTTAATACCACATTCTTCTTCAGGGAATTCTGCTAAAGCAGGAGTTTCTGGCCACTCTCAAGAACATTTGAGAACATAAGATGAACGCACCATGAGTGACATCATCTCTTTCCCCATTTTAGAGCTTACACCTTACTGAACTTTTAGCCATACATGAAGAATGATGCACCCAAGTGTTGCCAACTAAGAACGACAACACTAAGAATGACAACAACAAGCGCTACCAAATTCTGTAGCGCTTCACTTCACACTGAACGCGTCAGAGTTTGCCAAACTTCGAGCCTTACAGGATGTTCCAAAAGGTTTCACAAGGTCAATGCACCCTTACCTCGCACACTTGTCCCCCTCAAGCCCTGCTGCCCAGGGGACTAGAGAAGCGTACTTGCACTTCACCGCTGCATAGGGACCCCAGAGCACCATGTAAGAGTCGGGAGAAATCAAGCGCAGCCCCATATCCCAGAGATGCTCATTAAACTTTGAAGGCAGCACAGCCTGTAAGACCGCAACCCCTTGCAATGAGACATGCCAGGTATCAGGAAAGACAGACATGAAAAGCTGGAACGTTAAGTTGCACGCTGCTTGAGTGCCATGACTCACAGGACGCGAGATGCTTAGCCCCAAGTGAAACACTGACATTGAAAACAGGACAGTTTAGCGGGGAGTTTCTGAAACTACCTTCCTTCCAAAGCTCTGCTGCACTGTCCGGGAGAAGAAGCTGGTGGAATTGAACCAATTATTTCAGGACGCATCTTCCACCTCCCTCACTGACCTTTGTAAAGGACTTCACAGCAAGGTAAAAGCTTGCTCAAGAATTAACACACACAGGCTTACAGAGGATCCGCTTCCCCAGTTTGATCAAACTAATATCAGATGCAACTTTTAATTCTAGAACACACCCATTTTTTTTCCACAACAAATTTTCAACTTGTCATTGTCTAAATATTGAAAAAAGTTTCCTCATATTCTGAGGTATAATGCTTTTTTGCTTTATAATAAAGCAAAATGCTTTACAGCTTGAGGAAGGCCCCCCTTTCTAATGCTATCCCTGGCACTTACCTGGCCTCTCTGGCTGAATTTTTAAACAGAGCTGTCTTACGAAGTCCAAAGGCAGCTGAATAATTTCCTATTAAAAAAGAAAAGAGAATATATATTTCAACACAAAAATTAATATCCAGTTTGGGGGTCTTAAAATGGAATACTGAAGTTCAGTGGGTGTTTATACCGAACTATACAGTCAGCAGCTTCTCCCTCTGATTAACCATCTATATGAAGACCTGTACCTGAAATCACATGCGATACTTACTCCACTACGAATACCAAAAACTAATTTAAATAAATGCATGAGAAAGAGCATTTTCAGTAGAAGTTTAATGTGCATGAAGAAACTTGCATTATTTTGTCCTTTTCACAAAAGAAGTCGTCCCGTTTCATCCCGCCCCATGTCTCGCCCCCCACCCTTCCAAGGCAGAATTGTGTAACTCGGGTTCCAGGAGAAGGTGTCACTTTTCCACTCGGGTATCTGATGTTCAGTTAACTAGATCTGGCTGCCCTGAAGAACAGAGTGAGTGGCAAGGAAAAAGGTTCTCTCTGCACAGAAACCTAGACAATTCACATGAACCAGATGCCTCCCCTTGTTTTGCAGTTAGTCTAAAAATCTCTCTCTCTCACACCTCTCACCTTATGCAGGGCAAAGAAATGACCCCTCTTCTCATTAGTGGCTTGAAATGGCTCAAACCACAGAGTACAATCCAATCACCTCATCAGCACACAGCAGGATCTTTGTTCTGATCCAAATGCTTCTTGTTTGTGTATCTTGCTTGAGAATATCCGCAAACCCGATTAATTCCTTTTACTGGCATTCAGTGTTCCCCCAAACACTTCAGTGTTTACAGTGCATAAGCCATTAATTTTAAGAATAAAACATTTACCCCATGGTGAACATAGTTCTCCCCAAAGAACTGCTTCATGACATGTTTTCCAAAGTCTACGATGTTTTGCAGATGGTGTAGTATTTCCTCTGAAGTCTGGAAGACACAAACATGGTAATTTAACTATGAAATAATGATAAACAACACTCAAGTATACATACACATACTAGTCAATGATTTAGCAAAGTAGCTTAATTGCTCTACAGAGTTTGGTAGGTCAGTGCACGTTGAAATTAAACGGACACATGAAATGGCTATTACATTTGTTTCCCTACTGCTGTCTGAGAGGCTGGGATAACCAGGAAAACACTCAGAAGAGGTGATTCTTCTTCTTAAGTTTCAGGGGAAAAAGGACAGAGAAAATGAAAAAGGTGGAAGAGGGGGAGATTACTCAAGATCTACTCTGTCTTCGACCATTCTTAAAACAGCTCAAAGAGCTGTAATAGTCAAGAGAGATGCACAGCATGCCTTCTTACCAACAGGTGAAGTGCAGGAGATGCTGTGAGCGTTATAAAATACTTCACCTGGAGATTTGGAAAAGAATGGCCTAAAAGACTGAGCCACGTGACAAACCTCTGCATGAACAGGTACAGAATCTGCCGAATCCTGCCCCAGACAATGAAAAATCTTACTATAATGTCATCTTCCGTTCATTTTATGTTATGTGCCTATAAGGAAATACAGAAGTTCTCCTACAAGACAAAAATGCCAAGCTAGAGAGAAACGAAGCTAAACGAGTACTGGAAGCAGGACAGCAACATTAGCCCCGTCTGGCTTTGACAGACTTCTGCTCATTAAAGAGGTAGCAGAGAAGCTTTACAACAATATTATCCCATTCCCAGCACTCCAGCGTACTCTGGTTCTCTGCACAGCATTTTATTGTTACGATAGACAATCTCCAAGTTTCGGGGTCCTTTTGTAACACAAAGGTTTTCTGGAAAAACACTACTTTGCCTACCAGTGTACGCTATAAAGCACTGAACCATACAGATTTACTCTCAGGATTGAGTAACGGTGGAGGAAGAAGTGGTGCAACACTGATGTCCAAGTTGGAAAATCAGAGAGGAAAAACAACATGAGCAGGAGGAGAAAAAAGGAAAAAAGAGAGCAGAGTAAGAGAAAATAAAATGCTAGGAGGATAACACTCACATAGTGACAAAGTCTAGAGAAAGCAGGAAAGACCACACCCAACACAAATTAAAGATGTTTATAGGTAAAAGGAGATTGTCACTAACCAAGCAATCTTACTAACTTTGTTTTATAATACCATCATAATAGGTAATTTTTTTTTCCCACCCAGAAGGGTTTGTTACCTAACTTACACAAGTTGTGTAGGACTAAGAAAGATGAGTTAGTTACTGTAACACAGGTCTGCTAAGACTACGCAGCAGGTTTCATATTCTTCCTCTAGCAGGATTCATTTTCCAGACTGAAGCAGCAATACACAATACCGCAATACGCAGTAATGCTTTATGGAAAGAAAAGTCACTACAGTAAAATACATTACTACACACTGACTTCAGTAACATACCATACTACATGCTGTTACTTCAGTATGCAGAGCACTAACCAAAAAACCCAATCCTTTGCAGCAAGTAGGATAAACACAATTTTTCCAAAGTGCTTACACAGCATTTCGGTTGGACTCTATGATCTTAGAGGTCTTTTCCAACCTTAATGATTCTATGATCTCTGATTTCCATCATTCTATAAAGGCCAGGACAGCACTTATTCTTTAAACTGCTTGGCATACTGTATGTGGAGTTGTTTCTCAGAACGGCTCTCCCTGAATCCTTTTAAGAGAGCCAAAATAAGCTTGGAGTCTCTTCACAACAGGCAATCTTCCACTGCTTGAGTCTTACAACAAAACACACACTATGATGCCTAAATAACTTTCTCAATTGCAGTCATCTGGCCTAAAGCAGTGTATTTAAGAAAAAATAATTAATAGGCAACAAGATGGGCAAGCAGGCCACCCACGTGGGTATGCAAAAGGATATTTTACAGCAGCGCTGCTCAATCTGTGCTTCCCAGGAAGGCCAGTGCCCCATCACTAGTGCTGAACACACCAAGATCCATCAGAGAGGACGGCCGGCAGCCCGAGCTCCTTCGCTCCTCTCGACCAGAGGGCTGAAGAGACCACCGCTGGGGAAATCCCTGCTCCCCACCCTTCTACTCTCACCCTGAGCAGACTGCAAACACGCGGCGTCCATCCTCCCTCATGTGTCATTTGTTCCAGGCTGGGGAAGAAGTTGCTTTGCAGAGGGGAAACCCTTCACCAAGTTAAAAAGATCAATACAACTTTAAAATTACAAATCAAGCTTATGACACCTGCTCACCTCCTTTTAAGAGCAACTATATTTGATATACTCTAAACAAGAAACAAACCCCAACTAACAGGCTACTGGAGCATCACCTTTCAACATTAAAAAAACACTAAGATGAAAAGCTTTTGAAGGACCCATCATTACTGACAGCTCATTTAGCAAAACACTAAAACTCATCAAATAGGTTCTATCCAATAAAAAGGCAAAAAGTTCATTCATGCAGAAGACTTGTATACTAAAATCAGCAATGTGCAATTAAAATCGTTCCACGACTCCTGAGACTTGGCTTTCTACTCAAGAAATGCAAGCCCCAGAGTTACATTACCGATTATGAGTATTTTTCATTAAAACACTGAATTGTAACAATAAGATTACAATTTGCAGTAACACCACCTTGCTTAACTACTGGATTATCTAGTCCCGAGTTCATAACCAAACAGTATAAATACAAAGCAGCAGCCAGACTTCTTTACCTTTTCCAAAGGAGTTAAGCAGAAGAGACTGAGGCGCATTTGACCACATCTGAATTTCAGTATGCGTCTTAATAGAAAATATTTTGCTTCAGCTGCTTCTTTCAGAGTTGTTTACATCGGATGAGCTACAATGTCACACACAGATATATAACACTTTATATCCTAACTCATCTTGCACTAGTCAGGAATACATATTACACCTAAAAAACATTTTCTCTCTCCTCTACAGCTGTCATGCTGATACATCCAAGTTTGTCCCAAAACTCCGATTCTCAGAGACTTGTTTACAGATCTGAAGATAAATTATTTAGTCTTCCATTCTGCTCCAAGAAAAACTGATCCTTTAAAAAATCAACCACCAGAATAATTAAATATATTCAAATTACATAATCTTCTATTCAGAGAGCAAAGCCAAAAGGAATTGTGTATCACAAAGTCCCCACAATCACAATACAAGGCGAATACAGAACGCTGGAGCTGGCCACAAGCCAGCTCTCCTCAAAATGTAGCACTTCTACACCTAACAGGGGAGTTTGCTCTTAGAGTGGGCATTTATCAATCCGGAGCGTGAACTTAAAGAGACACTGTTTAAAAGGCTTTCAGAGGCACGCTCCGCCACTGCCTGCATCCACAAATAGCCTTTTTGCTGTTACAATCGTAAGAAGAAAAGCATGTCTGTCTGGGGCAACTCTGAATGGAAGTTTTGCTAAGTTTCTAAAAAGCAAACTCATGGTGCTTCATCAGCTACAGCCCACAGGGATACCTACTGCGATCTATCTCTATGCTTGGTAGCATTCTGGGCAATTTTACTGATCTGATTACACAGGGGAAAAAAACATTCAAGAACCTGACCAGCGTTCAGATACTAACAGAACACCATGCCCAAGAGATTTTTTTCTTGTGTTTCGCTATCCCTATCCAAAAAGCTATATGCATGCCAAAGCAGTCCGCAGAAGTATTACCAACTTCAACTGTTGTGAAGCTGTGGTGGGTAACTGTGAAAAGTCACTTCCTGGCTGCTTCTGCGACTTCGTCATACTTTGTCAATTTTTTAAAAACAATTACTATGCAACAATCTCTTTGGACTTAAAAAAAAAAGGGGGGGGGGAAGCTGGTACTCAGTGGTGTTGTTTTCTTAAATAAATGGCAATAGACTGACTTTTTACTTAAACTTGTGGTCTAATTCTCCCCTGCTATACTAAAAATTGAGATAGGCACTGTTCTCCTTTCTTCCAACCCACTGGGTTCTTTCCCTGTTCTTGTAAAACCTCTAAACATTGTTATCTTGGACTACTACACAAGCAAGGATACAGGATTTTGAAATCCTGCCACTATAAGCAGATTGAAAAGTTACTTGAATCACACTTTAGTTTTACCAGACTTTTTTTCAAGTAAAATAGTAGCAGAAAGACCATCAAACAACTCGTATGTACACTTTGTTCATGGGTTTCACCTTCCTCTGCTTTCCTGATGTACTTGACAAACTTCTCCTCTTTTGCCCCTTGTTAAACTGGACGCATTTCGCATTCACCTTCCTGATTTAAAGCAAAATGCCCTTCCTATACATTTACTTTACATTCATCCTTGTTTCTTTGTTCCTAAAATTAAGCACTCCCCACCCAGCTCTCGGTACAGCCATAAAGCTTTTCATATTTCTTACTCATCAGAACAGTCTGCCACTGAACCTTGCAAAGCCGTGGTTCAGAAGCTGCCGTAACTCAAGCCATTCCCTGCATCTCTCAGATAACACACCCTAAAGACTACTCGTGAGGTCGAGGAAATGGCAGAATTTGAACCTCCTGTCTCTTGTGCTCTTTTTTTTTCCTTGGAGTGCTCTGTTGACACTGCACTTTTACCCTCCAGCTTTGATTCTTGATCATTTTTTATCCCTGTTAAAGCAAATCTAAGGTAAATCGCTTCAGTTCCTTCTCAAGCAGAAGAACCTTCTGACACAGTCCAAGAAACTGGTAGACTGTGTCCTGCCATGTTCTTTTTGCAACAGACAGCACACTAAAATCACTCACTGACAAAGCTATTCTGTGAATATTTCATATTTTTGTCCAAATTCCATGGCTTTTTAGCTACTGAATAGATAGTCAACAGCAGACCTTTATCATGACGCCACTCCTGTGCTGTTCCTCTTCTGTCCCACCTAGCAACAGTCAGTAAAACTTTCAATTCTTCCGCAGCATCACCGCACTCTCCTACGTTGATGTCCAACATTAACACTTTCTCCGTTGCCACAGCTATCCTTACAGAAGGCTGTACTTTCTACACATTGCAGTCTTATAATCTGTCCTGCACAAAGGTCTTGATATCAGCAGTCACATAATCTTAGTTACGTAGGAAGACCTCAAATTTCCTCCTGTTGCCAAAACTCCTGAAACACAGGCACATTTCAAAACAATCCCCTTATTCTTACTCCTATCAGTCACAGTTCTTTCACGGGTTTCCTATTTCTCTTCAGACTGGTTATTAGCTTACCTGGGGGCTTTTATCCACAGTACGTGTTGAATCTTACCTTATTCTGGTTTGGGGGGGACTTCAGAAACCGCAGCACCACACAGCGCTAAAGAAAGATAGGAAAGAATATGGTTTCGTTAGCATTTAAGTACATCATAATTTCTGAACAGCACGATTGTCTGATTCCCTAATCTCCCTCATCTGAGAAATTAAGGGGGGGGGGAAGCAAAATAGGCATTTTAGATGGTTATTTCACTCAACTTGAAATCAAACACTTCAATGTCTGTTCCCAGATTTGCCATCACTTTAACAAGGCAGCCACTCTGCGCTTCCGGTCACCAAGTGGATGAGGGGAAATACCTCCTGAGCTTATAGCACTGGTCTGAAAATCTGGTAAAACACAGCATGAAACAAACAAACAGAAAAACACCCTATCGTTTTTGCATCAAAGGTCTTTGGGAAAAAAAAAAGGAAGACCCACTCAGGTATCATCTGCTTACAGTATCAGCACAGCGTTACAAAATATTAAGGAGACACTGATCAGTTACCAGCAGTAGCTACACAACTCTACTTATAAACACTAAAACCTGCTACTTCTAAACTTCCAAACAGTAAACATATAACACCAGGACAAATGCAGCAGGTTTCCAGATATTTTACCTTAAAAAAAAAAAATCACTAATTTTTCTCATATTTACAATTTCTATCAAATTTTGCAACAATTAAAACACCTTCATATTTTCAAAGTATACAAATTCTAAATCATCCTCAGCCTTTATTTTTAAGAGTTCAGATAAAAATGTTTTGCGGATGTCCTAAGTAAATTAAGCCTTTCTCCTTAAGCCTATTAAGAGAGTGTCTTCCATCACACAAGTCACCTGAAGTATCTTTCTCTCAATAAAATCTTGCTGAAATTAACCATTACACTTGGTAAATAGGCTTTTATATTAAAATCAAATTTTGAAGTAGTATTGAGGAACCTGCAGCCTTACCAGGTGAGGCAACACACAGCCCTGCCTCGGATTAGTCAGTCTAAACATCTGATCTTCAAGATTATTTACTCCCACTGAGGTACTTCAGCCTATTCAGATAAGATGTGGATATAAACAGTTGGGCACCACAGTAGGTAAACACCAACAGCTGTTTTCTGGAGTTCTCTCTAAGACACTCAGTGTCTCCATTTCGACCTTTCCTAGACACACCAGAAAGGACTACAGTCTAATTAAAGCACTACCAAAAAAGTACTAACACTCAGATTCCCTGACAAAGATAATGCAGACAAAACGTCATCGTTACACTTCAGGTTTATGCAATCTGAGCTTCTTCCCTACCAAATGACTTGCCATTAAAAAACCTCCCATAGCATGACAGCACCAGATATATTCCGTATTTCAGGGCTGAAAGCTGTCTCTGGACAGTGCTGAGTGGGGGAGAGCTGCAGTTATCTTTAATTACTAACATGTAGAGAAAGAGCAGGAGGAGAAAAGCAAAACAGATGATAATGTATAATTCAAAATAGTAGCAAAACAAGATCCGGATTCAGAGATTGCTAGTGAAACCCAGAAACAGCCCCTTCAATATCTAAAAAGTCTCAAGCCAGCATAAATCTCATAGTTCACCTACATCCAGAACACACTCTCAGGTAAAAGGATACTTTGCTGAATTTTGATTCAAGTTGTCCTGCAAGATCTAAAGAGCATGAGTGTCACAACAACAACAACCACCACATAGATAAACTAAACACTAATTATAATCACTTGATTTGACAAGATTGCTGGGTGACACTTTTTCTCCCATTATGACCGACACATGAGTAACAGAGCTCAGGTCTGATGAGCCTGTAAGCTCTGTGTATGCAGTATGTTATTTTTACAGTGTTTCAACTGTTTGGATCCCCCACTTTAAATATTCATAAACAAGTGGGTCAGTGATGGAGTGATCTGATCATCACATCTCATCAATTCGGTAACTTGATTCTGTAGTATTTCAAGGGTGTTGCAGATGTTTATCTATTAATCAGCTCCCAGCCAACAAGCTTCCAACCACCACTCTGGAAAATCCGATTGCTCTCACAGGACTCACTACAGTATTTTTTCATTACCAAATCATTTCTGAAGAGGCATGCTAGGATAAAATGACCAAAAAAATATGTGGCCAAAGAAGAACACACCGCTTGTCTAAAGATGTCAAAAGGAAACAGAGCAAAGTTCAAACAAAACTTTTCAGTCATAGATACACTTCAACCAGTCGGCCTGCACTGTGCCTTCGTAAGGCTATTAGATGATCAGAGTAAAAAAACCTAAACAAAACCCAAACCACTTTTTTTCTTTTTTGGGGGGACATTTTCAGCTAGATCCATCCCTTTGTGCAATTCAACAGACGGTTACAGAAATATACTGCCACAGTTAAACCATCAGATGTCAAAGATGCCAACTGCTTCAGAATTATTACCACTGAAAATATTGGTCCACGTTTTTCACGCTATTGCATTACTGAGTCACTTGACTGATTCTTTGCTTGGAAACATTGTGGGTGGTTGTTACCATGAGGTTTTTCGTCAGTTATCTTAAATGCCTTAGATTTTTTTTTCTATTTACAGATTGAACAAAGATGTAACATGCTTATCTGCATGCAATAGAATGGCCCAAATCCAGAAAAGAACAGATTTCTTAAGAGGTTGTCACTACTCCTTAGCACTTTGAGAATCAGATCAACTAGGTCCTAACGCTCCCTAAATTTCATTCTCTACATGCACCTCTGTGAGCCCTTCCACTGCTTGCCACTTCCATCAATGCACTATTACCATCAAAGTGTTTAGTTAATTGGATAATAGTCCCATACAGACAAAAAGATAAAAAAAACAGGCTGCAAAATCAAGCAGAGAAAAAAAAGAAACAATTCACGGAGGTCAGCAAATGTAACATGAAACATTAAGAGGCTTCCCATCTTTTGAAGAAGCAAGACAAGCTAGAAAAACAGCAAATTCAAAGGAAGAATTCTGTCTACAATTTTTTTTTTAAATCCAGCAGCCCTTTCTCTGCAAGTATGTTCAGTATCCAGTTAGTGACAAAAGACTAAAAAAAAAAAGCCATCAGAATATCAGACGTGACTGCTCTTACTCTCCAAATACAGAATTTAAGTGTGACTCTCACATGAGAGCACAGCAGTTTGATAACAGATAACAAACAACTGTTCTTACTGGCATCCAGGACCATACTAGGGCTACGACAAAAACCATTTCCAATTGTTACAGAAAACTCAAAACAAACGATAGCAACAAGGATACCGAAACTGGCGTGTCTCAAAACATCCACAATCGCTTGGCTGCCGAGATGATGTAATCGGGAGCCTATGTTCTGGAGGAGCACTATCTCAAGCCACAGCGTTTTGAGACTCCAGCCTGAAGCTTAAGGTCCCACCAAGAAAGGCAAACACCTCTTCAGCACCCTATCACGAAACAATTGTTTGGGTTAAATAATAACTGGAAGTTAGTGGCTGCCAATAGAGAGACAAAGCTGTGGGAGGGGCTGCAAAAATGTACTCAAAGTAGTCACTGGCATCACAGAAACACACAGATGAGTACACACAACTCTTGTCCCAGTGTATCTTGGGGAAAAATAGTTTGCTGGTCTTAGTCCCCATGAAGGTTATCTGCAAGAATTTTTCTTCTCCAAAGCAGTTACTACAGCTATTATTTTAATCTTTCTTAGTGAAATCCAAAACCAAAGTAATCCTTGGTAGTTAGGTCAAGATATGACTGGCATCAATCCAGATACTTTGGATTAGGCAGCAGCATTATGAAACCAGGATAAAAGCTTACATTTATTTCTTTACAGCTTGATGTTTGATATTGGCCCTATATTTTCCCAAAATGTTTGCTAAATTTCATTGTCATAAGATAAAGCTACCATGCAGGCCTCCTGAACTGGAGAGTTTTCACAAGTTAAACTCAATTGGGGCAAACCTATAACCTTGATATTCCCCTTCAGAGAAAAACCTCGTTTGGGTCACTGAGGTTTTTTCAAGTTTCCATCTCTTGCTACATTATTAACAAAATCTGTGTAAGAGCTGGTGCCAGTGAAAGAAACAGGAAAATTTGTATAAAAGCAAGCCCAAATGCTAGTAAAATTGTTTAGAAGTACAGAAAGATGTGCACTTTCCTTCTGCTGTTACCACCTCAGCTCACATGGTTTTAAAATAAGCTTCTGTATGAAAATATGAAGAATTAGCCTGTCCAAACACAAAGCCTGGGAAACATCACTTCGGCTTCTGCTTTTCCAAATAAGCAGGTTCATGTCATTTGTTATTACTCTATTATTATTCTGAACAGCATGCATTAAGTGTTTTTGTCTAGAGGCAAAGCGTTACTCTAACATCTAGTTCTGCAACTGCCCAGTATAACTAGAAAAGATTCTTATCTAGTTGATTACCAACTTGTGTTCACATATGCAAGATCTACTGGTAGAAACCAAGGCACTTTGGGAAGCAACTTTTTAAGTCCCAAAAGGAAATCCACTCCCCTCTTCCCATCTCCCTCATCTCCCTCACTCCACACCGTCTCATAAACCTGTGGTATCTAAAAACTCACCAGTATTTTTGTAAGCACTATACGCAATTTTACATCACAAAGTTACCTACCTGTCTACTATACGCTGTTGCCAATACATTTATTTCAAAAAGGCACACAATATACAAGCAGAACAAGAAAACCCACATTTGTTTTGAAGTTGTCCATATAAAAGTCATGAGCTTCCAATCATAAACAACATGGGGGAAAATGCTCTCAAAGACTGGGAACAAATCTTTCCCAAAAAAAAATGCAACCAGTTACACACACCACCAACAAGTACTACCTAAGGAGATGACGATAGGAAGTCGACTACTTTCAGAGAGAATGGTGCCTGAAAAGGCTCTTGAATTTCTTTATACAGTAAAAACTGGTTGTTTAACTACTCATTGTCTCTTGCTGAACCTGAAGAGCTATCAAAACTTACCGAACACAGCTCTAAGTATGCCAAACCTTCTACCACTATTGCAGTTATTCAATGCAACCTAATCACGGTGGATTTATGACAGTGTACAGCAATGACACCTACAAAAAGTGCC